TTTGTTTTTTTTTTTTTTTTTGTGATTCGATTCGGTAGGAGTCCCCTGCGTATTGACTGGCTAATAAACCCTAATTCGCTGCGGCTGCTTCTTATTCCGAGGAGTGATTTGAATTTTTATCGTTAAATTGTTTTGGATTGACGCGTTCGTTGATTGTTATTCACTTCTCATCTTAGAGTTCGATTTTTGGAATTCTTGATGGTGGACTGTTATATACTTCTGATTCAACATTCTGGTGATAGAATTTGTGATACTGATACCTCCTCATTATTCTTTATCGTTTTTTTTTTCTCTCGCAGCTGAAGCAAAACGGCAATTAGTTGCTGCTGGTTTTCATTTGCTAAACGAGGATGAAGACTGGAACTTAAAGCCTGGAGGACGCTATTTCTTTACACGAAATATGTCTTGTTTGGTTGCCTTTTCCATTGGAGAAAAGTGAGCTTCTAACTTTTAGATCTGCAAACGATTCTGGTTATTTGTAATTTAAATTACGTGGCTTAGGAAACTACAGAAGAAATGTCTAGTCGGCTGCTTGATTTGGAAGCTTTGGAAGATTTTGATATTGTCTACTCGTATCAATTTGCAGTTGTAGTCATCCGTGTAACCATGCAAGACTTATTTCCGGAGTTTTATTGCATTTTAACGATTTTTTTTTTCACCTTAGCTACATGTTTGATTTTTTTTTTTCTTTCTTCTTTTTCTCCCTACGATGTCTGACTGTTTTACTTTGAATTAGCTTAGTTTGCTCGATGAAATTTTGTCTGTTTTACAGGTATGTTCCTGGTAATGGATTCCATGTTATTGCTGCTCACACAGATAGCCCATGCCTAAAATTAAAGCCCAAGTCTTCATCAAACAAGTGTAATTGTCTAATGGTCAATGTGCAGACATATGGGGGTGGTTTGTGGCATACTTGGTTTGATAGAGATTTGAGTGTCGCTGGAAGAGTTATAGTAAGAGGCAGTGATGGTTCATATTTTCACAAACTTGTCAAAGTAAGAAGGCCTCTTTTGCGAATTCCAACCTTGGCAATTCATCTTGACCGGTTTGTGCCCCATTATTATCTTTTCGTTCATGGTTGACCTGCTTCTCGAGTTACTTATTTTTGGGGAAATTTAAAGAAAGGAACCAAGTTTATAGATATTAAGAAATTACAAAAAGGATTGCCAACTCATGTGGTACTTATTCAAAAGGTCCAAAGGACTAAGCCTGCACCACTCGGAGCCAAAATATAATCTTATCCTATGGTAAACGAGCGCGATGGTGTAGTTCATTGGTGCTCTTTTCTAATAAGGGTCATTATTTTGTGGGTTGCCTGCTTTTGATTAACTAAAGTTATTGATTACATCCTATTGGTCGCTGTAAGGGCAGGGTTTCAAATATTACAAGAAGAAAAAAGCCTATATAATCCTCAGATTTTTTTGGATTTTTAGATTTCCAACATATTGTATAGGTTTGGTGATGACTCTTTTAAGCATATTGTTAATATTCTTTTATTATATTATACATGATATTTTTAACATATTCAAAATGTTTTACTATTCCCTTTTCTTCTTGTCATGGTGATCTTGGTTTCTTCAGCACAGTGAACCAGGATGGTTTTAAGCCAAACTTTGAAACTCATCTTATTCCGTTGATGGCAATAAAGATGAAAGACAATTCAATGGAGTCGGAAGATGAAGGCAATGATCCGTTATTGAAGGATGCCCTACATCCACTTCTGAAACAGGTATTGTTTTCTATGACTTTAACAACTATTAAGTATTTTTTAATTTGTAGAGAGAAAAGGGGGAGGGTATTGTCTAGGACATCTTTTCTCGAGAATCTTAGATCATGTGGCAAAGCAGTTACTTGGGACACTTACTTCCACCCCCTCCTCTCCACCGCAAACTCAATGAGCTGCAGTTGCTTATGAGGAACTGACTTAGGATGGGCACGGAACTTGTAATACCCAAACTATCCATATACCATGATAAACAATCCAAAGAACGAAGGAAAGTCATTCATGCTGCACTCAGTGATCTTAATCAAATTCGTGTCCTATGGACATAAGCACTAAAATTTTCTATGGTATTAAATAAAATAATGATTTTTTTTTAAGTCTCTTAAACCAACATGCATGGGATGGTTTTTATAGTTTTATGTTGGTAGTTTAAATAATTTTTCTTATTTTCAAATTCCAATTTTTTTGGAAAATTTTGCACAAACATACATTATTATTGAACTAAATTTTTGAGAGTAATTTATCGATTGGTTGGGAATTTGAACGCCTTATGTTACTGAAGTTGTAGTTAAACTATAAATTATCTAGGAGTCAGTGCTTTAACTTGATTGACAGGTCATATCAGAAGAGCTCTGTTGTGCAGCTGATGATATAGTGAGCTTTGAGTTGAACGTGTGTGATACCCAACCTAGCTGTCTTGGAGGCGGAAATGAGGAGTTTATTCTCTCAGGAAGATTAGATAACCTCGCATCAAGCTATTGTGCATTCAGAGCTCTTATTGATTCTTGTGGATCTCATGGTGACTTAATAAGTGAACAGGCAGTTCGAATGGTTGCTTTGTTTGATAATGAAGAGGTAAAATTTTTCTTGTGTACTTTGTGAATGATACGTATACTGAAAGTTACGCATCTCATGGATTGGAAAAAAAATCCTAGTATATTTGGTCCCCCGGCTAAATTTCTTTTCAATTTGATCACGCCCATTGGTGATAAGATAGTACTGCCCACTAAGTAAAAACTGAAGTTTTTTTTAGGCTCCTCTGATCACCAGATGAATTTTATTTCTGTTTCCTTCAGCCATCAGAAAAGAAAGTGAGTAGAAGTGGATTTTCTAGAGAAAGAGATGAATGATAGAGGCTAATCCCATGACCACTTAAGAGATCAGAAGTTTCCCTATCATTTTAATTCCATGAGCATTTAGTCTTTAGATGTAACAGTCAAATCTCACTGCTAGCAGATACTGTCCGTGACCCATTATGCATCGCTGTCAGCCTCATGGTTTTAAAACATGTCTTCTAGGGAGAGGTTTCCACACCCTTATAAGGAATGATTCGTTTCCCTCTCTAACTAATGTGAGATCTCACAATCCACCCCCTTGGGACCCAACGTCCTTGTTGGCACACCACCCGGCGTCTGGTTCTGATCCATTTGTAACAGCCTAAGGCCACCGCTAACAGATATTGTTCGCTTTGTCCCATTACATATCGCCATCAACCTCACGATTTTAAAACGCGGCTGCTAGGGAGAGATTTTCACGCTCTTATAAGGAATGTTCCGTTCTCCTCTATAACTAATGTAGGATCTCAAATTAGGTTTTGTGAAAAAATGGAAGAATTATACAGGAGGCAGTGATGATTATTGGTTGAACCATATGGCAAGGATATAAAATATAGACCCTTCTCCATATCTCCTCTCAGCATCTTCTATTTCGTAGGTCGATAAAATGAGGGAAAGCTATAGGCTTCTAATATAAAACTTCCAACTTCCATTTTTTTACTTCTTACCACCCCACACCATAACCTTATTCCATACCTCAAAGCTATGTTCATTTTTTCCATATAGCCTATATTCACGCCAAGGATGATCTTGGTTTGATTTCTGTGGATTTGAGCCTCTATTTTAGTTAGTTTTGAGCTTCCTTCACGTCCTCTTTTGAGGGTTGTTTTTTGTATGGTCGAGTTTTTCTTTCATAAATGAAACTTCTGTTTCTTACTAATATATATGTATATTCACTCCAAGGATGTCTGCTGAAACAAGATCCTTCAGTTATTTAAATGATATTTGGAAGGTCATTGATGAATTTTCTCTTTTATTCGTATTAATATTCTCTTGAGTTTGTCTTTGATTAACTCGTCCTAGTATACAATCATTTCATGACAGCTATTTCATATTTATAGTCGTTAACTTTTCCTGTTTAGGTGGGTTCAGGTTCAATTCAGGGAGCTGGTGCACCCACCATGTTTCAGGCCATGAGGCGCATAGCCAGCGACATTGCTCAAGGACATGTTGGTGAAGGTGTTTTTGAGCGTGCTTTTAGGCAATCCTTTCTTGGTACGTTTCAATTCGAAGTAAAGAAGGATCAATTACTATGGTTTAATTTTGAATGCTTTGCATTTCAATGAAAATTTTACTTACTGGACCTTCGTGAATAGCCACGGTTAAAATTAAAGATCGCTACGTTGGCTCTCACTTGGATTGATTTCTTACCACCTTGGTGTTTTGTCGTTTAATTTGAATCATTTTATTTGGTTATGTATTATATTCTTAATAGTGTCTGCGGACATGGCCCACGGAGTTCATCCAAATTTCATGGATAAGCATGAAGAACACCATAGACCAGAAATGCAAAAGGGACTTGTCATAAAGCACAATGCCAACCAGCGCTATGCTACAAGCGGAGTCACAGCTTTTCTTTTCAGAGAATTAGGCCGAATTCATAACCTACCAACGCAGGTATGTGGCTGCCTTGAAACAATATTTTGTAGCTTCTTAGTCGTCTTCCCCATTGTTTAATTATTATAGGGCATTGGTTATGAGTGGTAACCGTTTATTGACTTTTTAAATTGAAATAGTCACGCTTGCTGCCTGTTGTGATGGTAGGATTTTGTTGTGAGAAATGACATGGGTTGTGGGTCTACCATCGGTCCAATCCTTGCTTCTGGAGTTGGCATCCGTACAGTGGATTGTGGCATCCCTCAACTTTCCATGCACAGGTATTCCCCCTCTTGACTGTGTATGTTATATTATAGCGCTCCATTCATTAAGATCTGAATCTAATTTTGAATTATTATGAAATAAATAAATCCAATTTTCAATGTGGCAAGTGGTGGAGAAAAAGAAAAAAAGAAAACGGCCATCATAAAATTGGCCTTCAAAATGGAACCTACTCTCCAACCTTTTAATTTTTAAAAAATAATTTTCACAATCATCTTCAAGTTTTAGAATTTAAAAAGATTAGTTTGTAGAAACCTTTATTTTGTGAAAGTTAAAGTCCATTGAAGGTTGGCATATGACAATTTTGGATTTAGGTTTGTGTAATAATATTTTGCAAATAGTTTTGGTATTATAATGTGAAAATGTGTTCATGATCATTCTTTGTGCATATATGTTATGGCAGCATAAGAGAAATTTGCGGGAAAGAAGATATAGACACAGCTTACAAGTATTTCAAGGCATTCTATCAATCGTTTTCAAGCATAGACCGAAAACTGAAGGTGGACGCCTGAATCAAAGATAAACCGAATAAGGTTATTGTCAATTTATTAAAGGCTACGGGAAAATATTTCCCCACGGATGTGTGTTCTAATCTCAGAGTCAGAGTCAGAGCCTTCCCAGAAAAATTTTCGAATTTAAGGGTACATGTCCAATAATATGATTTCCCTCCTGAATTAGGTTTCTCATTCGTTTATTTTGCTTATCCCAAGATTTCGACCTCCTCCAAATCATTTAATGTATATTTCAATCTATTTTTCTCAAAAAAATTTCATAGGAATTTAGAGAGGCAATAGTTGGAGAATGTGTTTACAATAGAAAACCTTATTTACCCACAATTTTGAAATTAAGAAAGAAAAAGCATAAAATTTATCACAGAAAACCTTATTTACCCACAATTTAATTTTGCAATCTAATCTTCTAAATCCTAAGAAAATGAATGTGTACAGGTAAAAACAGAGAGAGAAGGGATTCGTATCTTACGATGTGGATGTCAAAAAAAAATTGGTGCCTGCGAGAGGAAGCCATTAGCAGCGAAGTCAAGCAAATGACTTCCCTTACCACCTTCGTTGATTCATTATTAAACACTGGACCTTAAAATTACATGCCAAACGACTGTGTTATAACCGTGCTTGATACAATACTATATTACTCGAGCTGAGATCAACATGAAAATAATAAACGAATTGGTTACCTAATATTATATGGTTTTGTATTCTTTTACGGAGGAGATAATATATGTTGAGCGAGAGAAAATAACATCTCAACATCATAGGAGGCAAAAGGAAAGGAGAGCTCTTATCGGTTGTGATTCTCAATCAATCTTATAATCCATAACGGAAATAAAGGGAGATGGCAAAATAAGTTATGCAGAAGGAAGGGTTTATTACCTGAGAAAGGGGCTGATGAACTTGCTCATGACGATGAATAAAAGGAGAGGAATTCACAAATATGCGTGGTTGGAGTGTTGCACCAACGCTTGCACTATAAGGCCAAATAACTCTCTAAACCACCATACCTTTTAATATTTGCCGCGCCAATCGCGTCAAGCATGGGCGACCTACATATCATGGAAACTCAGTACTATTAGTTCGCAACAAAGCACGCGGGACAGGGCTTAAAAATCTATTTACCATGCCTTTTCCATCGAATTAACCAACCAAACAACACTAGCTAATTAATAAACCAACAAAGCACAGCAAACAAATTAAGAATACAACAAGCTATGATAGATAATGCAAGGAGTCTCCAACTTACTAATGAAAAGAATTGAATCACCGAATGTATCAGCATAACATACTAAAACGTCCAGCAAATGGAAAAACTACTAAGAACACCGCCTCTGTGAGATCATCGTAGAAATTAATGCATATAGAAAAGGAAAGGAAACCAATGATATTTAGTCGCCAATTTTCTTCAATTTGTGTTGCACCAAAAATGTTAATAGAAAATACGTCTTCGGAGAATCAAACGGAAAAACAACTTAGATCACCCTCACAGGGAACTTAATGTATACATGTATGCATATTGGAAACGAAAGAAAGCCTATGATACAGTCAACAATTTATTCTATCTACTTTGCACAGAAAATGTTATTAGACAGTTATTTCCAGAAATCATATGGAAAAGCTACTTAGAACACCACCTCTGAGAACTCAATTAGACATGAATGCATGTAGAAAATAAAAGCTACAATACAGCCAGCTATTTATTTTATCTACCTTGTACAAAAAATGTTATAAGAGTGTTATTCCAGAAAATCAGAGGAAAAACTATTTTGAACACCGCCTCTGAGAACTCAACTTAAACATAAATGCATATAGAAAATAAAAGGAAAGGAAAGGAAAGAAAACCTGCGACTCAATCAGCAATTTTATTCTATCTGCCTTGTTCAAAAGAACGATTAGAGGATTCTTCTAAGAAATCAAGTTTAAGAACTTCCTATACTACAACCTCTGTGCACTCAATGTAGCCATCAGTGAATGTACAAAAGAAAATGCAACTTACGACATCATAAGCGATTTTATTCTATCTGCCTTAGAAAACGCTATTAGAGAATTCTTTCAAGAAATCAGCACCAACAGATACAAATACCGCACAAATAACACGATGTCAAGTGGAATGATTCGGACAAGTATAACAGACAGCTACGACTTGAAATTAATAATAAATCACTTACTCAAGGATTCTGAAAGTCCTCGAGAAGGAACCGACCAACCTGAGTGATAGAATCCTCGGATACTTCAGCAGGAACCGAACGATCTGAGCGAGCAGCACCGCCAACGGAATGCTCCAAGGCATTAGAATTTTGATTGGTAGAAGCGGAGGCCAGTGTCCATCGTTTCAAGGCCTCATCCATCTCAGCGACCTCCCTGACTCGGGACCTTCGAGATCCTCCGCTGCAGAGTGCTCCATGATAAAACAAAGGACCGAAACTCTAAACTCCTGGCAGCAATAGAGGCATTAGGGAAAAAAAAAAAAAAAAAAAAAGAAGCAGGTAATCGAAATGCCAAATCTCAAGGAATTAGGTTTTTTGGCATCGGAAAGCTGTAGCACAAGAAAGAAATTCGAGGAACCAAATTTGGCGCGATTGATACGACGGTAGATTTCCCCGATCGATTTCGATCGCAGCAAGAGAAGATCGCAGACAAACAAAGGAATTCCGGTTGCATAGAATCACTTGGGATAATAGTTCCCCTGTCGAAGTCCCTAACTCAACTTTGGCGGGAAACTGACGAAGAAAAGAGAAAACGAATGAATGTAATTCGATGGGTTGCCGTGGATTGTCACGATTCGGATTTCAGTATTTATAGTGCAGATAATAAGTATATTTAAATATTAGGGTTCGAATCCTCTCCCCCAAAAACTAATAAAATTAATGCATATTTAATTTTCTATTTTTCCACTATATTTAGATCTCTTGATTTATTAGTTCTTTTATTAGGTTGCTTTATTTGTTTCAATATATATATTATCTTTTGAAACAATATTTCTAACTCAAATTTTTTTCACATTATATAAATAGAATGGATAAAATTTATACATTTTTTTAATTCTTTTATCTTTTTAAATATAGTGTCCAATATTTTTTTTTCCTAAAATATAAAACAATTGTGATAATTTAATTGATAAGAAGGAAGGGTAAGGTCCTCATTAAAATTAAAAAAAAAAAAAAAAAAAAAAAAAAAGAACTTTAAGATAATTCCCATTTTCAAGCCTCAACTTTCACAATTATATTACTATATTTTCAATGAAAAGAAAATGGAGTCCAATTTAAAAGATAAAACAAAATATATTTTCATCAGGCATTCCAATTTCATAAAAAATTCTTAAAAGGGAGAATATTTATTATCGACTCGTCTGTTGTAGCATTGTTTTGACACTAAGATGACTAACTAATACCTTATTTGAAGCTTAAAAACTGCCACATTTGGAACCTTTTTTTGGTTGTTCAACAAGTGGGGCGTGGGCCAAACCAAGGGAAAAGCACTTGAATAAACAAAATTTCAATGATCTTTTCAAAAAATCAGAAAGAAAATTGAAGAGAACTTCCAAACAGTCTCAACTTCTCCACAACAATGTTCAAAACCTATATTAACATTTATCATATACAATCAGTCTAATATTATATTAAACAAAATATAGAAAGGTGTAGGAGTGATTCTTCAGGATAAGAGAAGCTGAAGATATGGTGTATGCCGTAAGCTGGTTGAGGCATATACCTCAACTTACATTCGAAGTACGAACTTGATGCTATTCGCAAAGAGTACCCTCCATTTTTCATCAAAGCTCGATGCAGACCGAGGCTGCGTTTCTAAAGATTTCATACCTGCCCATCAAGGGTGAAATTGCCACTCGATCCCATGTGTAGCCGATTCCCAGATTTGCTCGAACTGCTAAAGATGATCAGGAAATGAAACATGCTTTCCGTCCCACGCATCCTTCTTTGTCCTTGCAACAAGAAGGCATCAAGTGTTGTGTTGTTAATTTTAAGGATCTTCCCTGGTGGTAGCATCATTAAAATGAAATCAAAACTAATCTGGGCACTTACAGGATTTGGTAGAGTTCAGAGCAAAAACGAGAAATCGATGTTGACGAAATTCTGAGATTTCCAACTGGTACTCGAGCTGCAGCAACGGATCTCACTTGATCCGAATATTTTTCCCATGTTTGATATTCTCTGGGTTGTGTCACTGATCTTTCTTCCATGACATTTCATTTCACTAAATTTTTGGTTTTCTTACAAGCACAGCTCTAGTTTTGCAATGACGAAAAACCATATCCTCCCGTATGCTGAAAATGTCGACAGAATAACGAAGAACTGGAACAAAACCTCATGGTAGATGAGAAGCCAAACAAAAGAATCCTCCAAGAAGATATTAAACCAGTCATGAACGCTCAACAAGATATTAAACCAATCATCCATGACACAAAAGAAATCTCAGGAAAAATGCAAATGATTCCTGGTCTAGAGATACGATGATGATAGGCCAGGATGGCTATGCCATAGAAGAAAATCATTAAAAATTAGAGACCAACAGAATTTTCCATGTCATATAGCTGTCGGAATATCCATTTAGGACTATCAAGAACACGAACACAGATGGTCATCTAAAAGTCACGTACGACAGTGCAAAGTGCAGGATTGTGGAGACCAAACATGAAATGAAGAAATCCCGTAGTTCAGAATCAACAGCCTCCAACATCCTTTTATTGACTGTAACCTTAGAAAGTTAGAACAACTACAGAACCAAAGAAAATGATAATTCTATGCTAATGCTTACAACTATATGCACAGACAAAAAGCCAACAAATATTACAGAATGACACTTTTTTACCCCGTTCTCATTTTATCACGTTTCTTTTAAGTTCAACTTAGAGAGAGTGAGTGGGTAGGGTAGGCAGGGTGGCAGTTAATATAACGTTAAGAGAATCCCATACCTTCGTCGAAGATCTTGCAGGAACATTCCCAGCAGATTGTTGATTCTTCTATTTAACTTTTCATCATTATCAGTGGCAAGAGCAACCTGATCAGCTCAGCCTACTAACGCAAGTTCCAAAGCAATGAGTTTCTGCATCAACCATAAGAGATGCAAGAAGCTCCTAGGAAACTGATGGTGGGAAGAAGCATATCAAGTCCCAGAAAATAAAATCCTTCTTCTATGCCCACATCAGTTCTTTATGCCTGCCCCCTGCCATTTCAAGTAAATAAATGTGCACTGAAAAGGCCCACGATATATTTTAACTACCAGATGGCAGGGAGCAGGCATGGCCCATGCCCCTCACCGGGGCCGTGCTAAACCAAAACCTGCATCTGGTTGCTGTTGGTATTGCTGCAAAATCATAAGATCAGGATCAAAATGGTGTGTGAGTGAAAAAGAACACACTCTGCTACATTGTCTTTTAAGTACGGACAAAAGGAAACTTCGCTCGCTAATTTTCTCTTTTCTTTCTTTGACGAACAGCCATTTTTTGACTTATAACTGTAATCACTTGCAGGAAGATTCGAAGAGTTATACGTCCAGCGGGGTGATCACTTACAAGCAGTAGGATAGCTACTGATAAAATATCACCAGCACAAATATCCAAGAAAGAGAAGAGCTTTGGAATAAAAAGTTTGTTGCATCAAAAATTCAAATTCAATAAAACAGTGGAAAAGTCTAAACCTGTGTAAAAGGTTGATAAGTTTGTTCATGAGGATGGATAAATTGCATTCCGGACTGCTGACCGGGATACTGAGAGGAATGCAGATATACACCAGAAGATGAATGCGCATCGACATTTGGATTAAAAGGTCTAACCATTGCTTCTCGATGACCATACCCCAAACCTGCAGGAGATGATTGGGCATTCCATGGCCCAGGTACGTGGGAAGGGAGTGGTCTAGGCTGACATTCTGAAACAGCCTGTCTATGGGCAGATCCAAGTTGTGGAAATTCAGTGTTGTAGTTCACTGCAGGAGCATACATGGGCTGCACTGTGTATGGGCCGCCACTGAAGCCAAACCCAGGGTCGAATCTCTGCATATACCTGAAGAAGGATTTTACAACCAGAAATTTGGCTAAATTACTATCCCAACAATAAAAGTCAGGATGCACCTCTGATGTTAAAATTTCTAAATAGAAAAGTCACGCTTGTCAATTAACAGCTTGTTACTTCATCGTCTAGCAGTTGATTCATGAATTGAAAATACCTTACTTTGTGTATCATAAAAAGTTATGTTCTGTAATAAATGTTTGCACATGATTAATCCTCAAAAAAAATTTAGAGAACCCTAACTGTCACCAATTAATAATAAAATTTATTTAATTCAAATTGTTTATCTCAAAAGAAACACGGTAACAAGGTCAAGAGAGAATAAATGGGAAGCTTTGGATCTATTCAAAAACCTGTTCATCCATCTCCTACCAAAAGAAGCAGACAATTGAAAAAAAAATTAAGATCGGGCCAAGAAAAAAATTATTGCATTCCGTACCTATCATAGCTCCTGTCATAATCAGGATCCTTGATATCGATCTCACGATCTCTAAAAATGGCTACCCTACTATTTGGTTTGTGCACCTGCCTTATAGGAAGCTCCTTGTCAGTCCTACTTCTACTTATTCTACTGCTACTCGTAGAACAGTCAATCAAGCCCCTACTAAAATTTGTATCAGGAACTCCTGAAATCATCTTCTCCTCAACCTTTGCAGCACCCAAGGAACCACGATAACTATCCTGTAGTCTAGGATCGGCATCTACTTTCACACCTGCATGACTACCTGAATTACTGCTGCAATTGAATATACGAGCACGAGCTTTATTATACTCCTCCTTCCTTTCTTCCACACTTTTGGAGCCACTTGTTTTCGATGAATTGGCACCGGCATCTTTAGCTACTTGAGACCGTTTCTGTGGCCTCTGTTTGATAGCAACCTTCATGGTACTATTTTCCTCCGTTGGAAGATTTACGGGAATATCTGCAAGGCGGATAGCTGGAAGACGGCATTCAGAAGTCTTACTAACAATAATTTTGGAACCAGATCCATCAGGTAAACTATTGTCCAATAGAACCATGGACTGCAGTGAATAATGTTGGGCCACCCGATGGGCAGCTAGCCGTAAATATGAAGTAGGCAACTGCTGGAACTCTAGTTGTTGTCGAGCAGGATCCCGGATAAATTTCTCAACATCTTGCTCCATGCGCAAAACTAAAGCAATGATAAATATTCAATATCATCCGTCGAGGGGTATAAATCGTAAACAACATGTTCTCAACAATATAAACAGTGCCCATAATTATAAGTAACAAAACTGACTCCACTTTGATTTGATAAAGATGGAGTATAATTATAAAAGGAATTGGAAAGCGCAGACCGACCAGAGGAATGAAATTCATCTAAATCTAAGAGCCTTTCCCAAACCCATTTTCCTTTAAATAGCCCCCTTGTCTTTCTGCTCATAGTCATCCCAGATGAAAGCTTCTAGTGCATTAAACCACAAAATCTATCCCTTTTATCCAAGCACCCAAGATATTCCAGCTCAATGAAGCAGCTACCTGGCCATAGATTTTCTGACATTAAATTACGTAATTCTATATGTGGCTTGAAACCATTTTAGATTCCTATTTTAACTTGTCATAGTTGATCCTTGACACTAAAACACATTCTATTTTTCTTTCTAAGCATAGGTTCCACAATATTGCTTTTTCCACAAAATTCGAGATGGCCGTAGTTTGCAACTTTTCACCGAAAGCAATCACACCATCCATAATACAGGAAAGTTAAATAAACGACTTACTTGATAGACGCTCGCGAGGGTTATGCAAAGCCTCGAGAAGGAACTGATCAACCTGATTGACAACATCCTCGGGAACCCTCTCGATGGTAGAAGAAGCCGAGGAGGGAAGAGAGGGAAATGAAGCGGATGAAAAATGAGAAGCTGGAGCAGCACCGTCAAAAGAGTTATCCAATGATTTGGAATTCTTCGTAGGAGACGAAGAGGGGAGCATCAATCGGCTCATTGCCTCGTCCAAATTCGCGACCTCCCATGACTCCGGTGCTCCGAGATCCTCAACCGCAGAGCCCTCCATGGGGAGACGAAATAGGAGACCACTAAAGTCCTGCCACAAAGTGAGTCATGAAATATCAGAGAACAAAGGCCCCCAAACAGGAGATCGAGGTAGCAGGCGAATTTCGGGATCGGAATTGCATTTAGAGATTAGGGTTTCGACTGTCGACCACCGTGACGGAGACGGAAGAAGAAAAATCAGAAGAGTGTAGAGAGAATTTGGCGACGGGTACGATTCGATTTGATGATGAAGAGGTTGAATGGTTTCAGACCATGTCAAAGGTTGCGTGCCTGCGACGCGCACGATATCCTCTCGCATCTTTTTTTGTTTGTTTGTGTGTGCGAACTGCAAAGTCTCAAGTGTTGGGCCTCATGGATCAATATTCAGGAGGTTGGCCTCTGGGGCCTTATTATACGTTCCCTTTAAAAAGTTATCAAAATTATTCAATTAATAAATAATAATATAAGACCGTCCTTCTCATGATTTTACCATTAAAAAAAAAAATCACACATTTATAATAATATTTCGTTTCTCTCTCCAACCGACCGCCCATTTTTTTAGAAGTTAAGTGTCCTCGTGTAATCAATATTTCGTTTCGCTCTCTAACCGATCATTCATCCCTTTGGAGACCTAGCGTCTTTGCTAGCATACCGCTCAGTGTCTGGCTCTGATACTATTTACAACAGTCCAAGCTCACTGTTACAACTCAATGTCTGACTTTAATATCATTTATAACAGTCAAAGCTCACTGCTATAGCCTAGTGTTTAGCTCTTATATTATCGGTAACTTCAATCATTTTTTGTGTGTTGCAAAAATTGCTTATTATTATTATTATTAATAACAAAAATGCTTAAATAGTTATTTATTTAATGAATTAATAGGAAAAGGATTAACTCTTTGTGATTTCTATCTAAACATTTGCATTCAAAGTCAAAATTATTATTTATTCTAAAATATTAAAAAAATTACTTTTAAAGATGGTAGAATATTCATAATTAATATTTGTAATTAATTAATAGATATTTGATTTAATTTATTGATGCTAAACGTATTAAAATTACGTAGGTTAGCTTATGAGTGTTTAAGTGAATAACAATGATTAGAATTGTTCCTTTTAAAAAAATAAATCGACTAAAAGAGTATTTTAAAAAAAAATTGAAAGTTTAAATATGACCGAATATTTTATTCTAAAATATTCTTTTTAATTAACAAATTGTAGTTAATTTAAACCTAACTCTAGGTAATTAGAGATAACGCAAAAATTATGACGATGTTCACCCTCTCGTAGAGGCTGCGACGTTGCTTGGGACTCTCATTATAAGTATTAATATTAATAATTTTAAAGAATGGTAATTAATATATTGTTTTTTTTAAATAACATTTTTAAATTTTGATTAAAGTACCGAACATATGTTTCTTTTTCCCCAAAGGTAAAAACCTTTTTAAAAAAGAAATATGTATAAATAATTTTAATGCACTCGATTTTCTAAAATTAATAATCTTTAAATAAAAATCGAAAATTGGCCCCGCACCGACCTCGAAAAAACAATACCTTCAATGGTCATCCAACTCTTTATTAAAACATATTAATTTTTTAACAATTTATTTAAACATTATAGTATTAAATTTTGAAAGCGAACGATACTTTCTTTTTTTTTTTTTTTTTTTTTTT